ATTTACGTCAGTATGAGTCAAGCCTCTGTCACAATTCAATATTGCCGGTTGCCATTTATCAGATAAATTTCCCGTTGGATTCGTCGTCACGCAGGGAAAATAACGGTTTTGAAGAAAACCAGTCCTCCAAAATGTATACCTTCCAATATGACATTTAAAGGGCCCATTTAAAGGCCAACGCCATCATTTCGAGAATGTGATCCAGGCAGGAGACATAATCAGCTTTCTTTTGCCTTTCCTATTCCACCTTGCTGGAAGTGTGAAATGTCCAAATGTTTCCTTCTGTCCTGCGGAAAGCTGCGGAGTGTTTAGCACAGTAAAGCCTTCTTAAAACGGATATCCACGTCTCATTCCGTCACATTCCATCACATATGTAACAACGTTGTGTTTTATGAAGACCTTGTGGGGTGTCACCCACAAGGTTGTCACATATGTGATGGAATGTGACGGCATGAGACGTGCATATCCGTTTCAAGAAGGCTTATGAAGACTTTATTGTGCTACGCATGGATTCAGTTGGAGGGTTATTTGGTTCCTTCAGTCCCTTCTCACCATAACCTGAATGCTTATACTGTCTCATTGGGTCCCAAGCCCTATGCCATGGTTTCCCTACATTGCACTGATGATGGCCAACAAGCCCGCATGCCGTTTGGACTGCATGGCTATATTGCACTACACACCACCTGTTCTGGATGTCCATCTGGCTGTTGGGATATAAAATAATCATTTGCATGGCTCCCCCCATTTGTCCTGAAATGAGGAAAAATACCCTTATTTTTGGGATATGTGATGGAATGAGGCATATGAATACCGTCTACTCTAAGAAGGCTTTACTGTGCTACAAACTGCTTTGGTTGGGGGGCTTTTGATATCTTCAGTCACTTCTCATCATGTCCTACATGGTTACATTGTCTCGTAATAGCGTGTTGCAATTGTGTGACGTTCCATAGACAGCTATACATGACTGGGGATAAAGGTGTCTGCATTTCCCCCCTGGAGACATGTGACACAGTCCATCATTTCCATGGAGGACATTGGATGCTTTAGAGGAAGCTAAAGGGGATGGTGGCACCTACTAGGTGGTCTACAGGCTGTACTATAGTCAGGACAAACCACTGTACAAATGCAAATCATTTTATATGCACATTATTCATGTTATATCCTTGTCCACAAAAAGGAGCTTCAAGAAAATCCCTGAGTAAGGAGAAACGTGTAACCGCCCCCCCTCCCCCATCAAATCCATTCTTTGTCCTAAGCCCCCATGCCATGGTTTCCCTACATTGCACTGATGATGGCCAACAAGCCTGTGTGCCATTTGGACTGCATAGCTCCATGATGACAGGCTATATTGCACTACACTCCACCTGTTCTGGATGTCCATCTGGCAGTTGGGATGTAAAGGAATCATTTGCATGGCTCCCCCCAATTTCTTTTTAGTTTAACATGGGCTTTCAGTGCGTTTCAGGGCGTTTGCATGAGTTTTTAATGCGTTTTCATGCGTTCCAGAGCAGGTAAAATAGGGCTTGCTGCAGTTTTTTCACCTGCTCTGGAACTGCACGCTGCGATGTGAACTGGAGCAAAAAATACAATTGGAATACATTGGACGCAGTTTTGATCCGGTCTGCAACTGCTCTGCTCTGCGCTTGGTGTGAACAAGGCCTTAGTCCCTTCTTACCATGTCCTATATGGTTACATTGTTTCGTAATAGCATGTTGCAATTGTGTGAGCTTTCCATAGACAGCTATACATGACTGGGGATGAAGGTCTCTGCATGTCCCCCAGCTTCAAGAAAATGCCTGAACAAGG